TCGGCCCTTCAAAAAGTATGGATGGACCTGCACGAAATATATATATATATATATATATATATATATATATATATATATATATATATATATATATATATATAATAAAAAGGCTTAAACACTAATATTCCATGGTCATAATTTATACCTTTGGAATCGTAAATACGATCCAATTCATCAGACCTACAAATTCAAAAAGAAAACAGAAATATATATATATATAACCGGTCTGTTTAATTCTGTTGCGTTTTTATTGCGTTTTTCTTGTATGTAAACAAAAGAGTTCTTTTGTAGGCTTAGTAGAAATTGTTCAAATGATGAGATTTCGGCTCATCTATAGACCATTATCAAGAACTTGGATTGTACTTTCGAAACATTAGTCAAAAGCGCACTCAATCATTTTGTCAACGATTCCATGTTTGTAGTATCTTTAAAAGTCCGTCAAAACTCATTCCAAATCAGAGCGTTTCCTATTATATGCAATGTCCTCTCAGAATGTGTGTGGTTATGCCTCTCCACAATTTCCTGGTATCTCTTCCTGTATTTCTAGGACGAGGGGGGTTATCATTATTTACACTATTTACATTCGGACGCTTGTCTTCATCTTTGTTGTTGTTATCATATTTTAACTGTTCTACCCTCCAGTCTTTATCAGGTTAACCTACAAGGAATTCCGAACTGGACCCTCTATTTAATCTACGAGGGAGAGATTAATTGTGTCGTGGTGGGTCCCATCTGCAGTGGTCAAGGTTGGTAGAATCAAGGTATTTAGCTCGTCAGAACACTTACCATAGAAAATAGCGATAGAATATCGAGAAGCTTGCGACATTCCCTCTGTGGGTAAAGGTATTGTCGGGTGGAAAATTATTCATCACCCACAAGGCCTTCGAGACGCTTTTAAAGTCTTTCAGGCAAGTGAGGACTGGGTAGCTTCAACCCAGATATGGAGCAATACTCCATTTTTTTTTTTTGGTAAAAATAAAATTCAAGCAAAATTTCGTCTCGAAAGATTAGTCTGGTTGATTACGACCACTGGATACTGATTTCGATCCTCACCGGGTGTACCAAACAAACCGTACGACATTAAATAAAAATTTATTATAGTGGTGAAGGTTTCGTGCAGGATCATCCATACTTTTTGAAGGGCCGAATACAAACAAGGGCTGACATGTCGAATATGAACTAAGCTCACAACAAACATCTTTGTTATCTGAACGAACAGTATCACTGTACAGTGAACATGTGTGTGCGCTAGGCTCGACTTGGGCTTCCATAGTTCAACGGACATTGTTACGTCCGGGTTAATAGTATTGCACGGCGAATATCTTGGTTAGCAAACTCTTATTTGAACTCCAATTGTTGAACATATACTAATACGACTGGAGTAATAACCTGGCACGGTGAATAATTTTGTTAGCTAACTCTGATTTGGACTTAAATAGTTGAACGAACATTGATACGTCCGGAGTAATAACCTTGCAGAGTAAATATGTTGGTTAGCTAGCTCCGGTTGGGAATATGTGGAGGAATCCGTCGCAAGAACTTATGAAACATACGTCACATTGTTATGGGTTGAATCGAGAAGAGAAATGAAATTTGGACGATGGGTAGAATGAAGATCATTGCGGTAGCAAGAGTACGATAAGGGGCGGGGAGGGTGGAAGCTATTGAAGTGGATGGTACTTTGGGTTGGTTCATGTTGGATTCTTTAACTCCGAGGAATCCTGAGCATGTGCCTGAGATGCATCAGCAGAAGAACATGGCAATGGAATTTAATTACATCGTTGTTTCATCCATTTTTGATAATTCTTCAGATAGCATGTTCTTTCGTTTCTTCGTGTTTTTTTATGTGGCTTTATTCATTTTTATTGGTATTTCATTTCAACATTTTCTCTTTTCTGTGAACTTCATTTCTTCGTTTTTTTCTTCATGCTTTTCTTAAAAAAACAAAATATTTCCTTTTTTGTTTCTTGATGAAAATTCTCTCTGTCTCTCTCTCTCTCTCTCTCTCTCTCTATATATATATATATATATATATATATATTTAGTTGGATTGATGTGAGTTTTGACCCTGGGTTTGCTTTTGCGATCGTCAGACAATGTCTGACGATTGCAAAAGCGTGAAAACCAGGGTCACAAACTCACATCAATCCAACCAAATATGTTAGCTCTATCTCTGATATTGAGCGCTTTCTAACAAGTACCTGCATATAATATATAAATAAATAATATATATATATATATATATATATATATATATATATATATATATATATATATATATTATATATACACACTTTTCACACACAAAACACACACACATATATATATATATATATATATATATAATATAATATAATATAATATAAAAGGCTCAAACACTAATATATATATATATATATATATATATATATATATATATATTCCCAAGAGGATAGAAAATAGGTAGAACTCTGTCCAGGACAGAGTAAGATATATATATATATATATATATATATATATATATATATATATATATATATATATATATATATATATATATATATATAT